GGGCTCATCCTGCTCCATCTCTGCTGGTCCCCGTGCCCTGCTGGCCCGTGGCACAGGGACAGCCTGGGCACGGGGACAATGCCCTCCCTTGTGGCACTGCCACAGCAGCTGCGCTGTCAGCCCCACACTGGGGCTGTGTTCCCTTGGCTGCGTCCCAGGGCTCTGCTGCTCCCCGAGACTCCCTGATCCTCTGCCAGGGGGCTGGGCCTTCCAATTATCCCATTGTCCACTGTCCATTATCACATTTCCATTTCCCACTGTTCATTAGCCCATTTCCTCCTTTCCCATCTCCCATTGTCCATTATCCATCTCCATTTCACACTGCTCATTATCCCATTTCCCATTGTTCATTATCCCATTTCCCCTGTCCATTATCCCATTTCCTCATTTCCCATCTCCCATTGTCCATTATCCCATTTCCCATTTCCACTATCCATTATCCCATTTCCATTTCACATTGCTCATTATCCCATTTCCCATATCCCATTTCCTATTGTCCATTACCCCTTTTCCATTTCCCATTGTCCATTTTCCCATTTCCCCTTTCCCATTTTTAAATTTCCCCATTTCTCCTTTCCCATCCCTCTGTTCATCCAAGCCTCTCACTGATCTTTGTTAAATATGCTAATTGGCAAAATCTCTAAAATTGTGGACACCATCTAATTGTGAATATACGTTTCAACACACCCCACCCTAACAAAGTATTGCACCATAAAAATCCTTATTAAATGCTGAGATAAAAACCCTTTACCCTTAACCACATCTGGCTCTTAAGTTTAAGGAAAATTAATTTTTAAGGAAAATTAAATTTAAGGAAAAGGCATCACCTCGCTCAAAGGGAGGGGGGGAAGGCCTTAAACCCCAAATCTGCCTTCAGCAGCTGCCAAAATATTCCCACAGAGCCACTTCTGTGGCAATCCAGCAGGGATTCACTAAAAAATTCCATATTATTAATCCATGGGATTCCCACATTCCAAACCATGGAATTGGTTTTTTTGGTACAATTTTTTGTACAAAAAATTTTGTTTTTTCTCCTGCTGTACATGGCAGGATAGGAGTTTTTGGCCCTGAGTGGAGACAAGTTGTGCTTGGAGACCCTGATCCATGGAATATCCTTTTTTTTTTCCCCAGTTGGGAATGCAGAGCCTTGAAAGAGAGGAAAAATGTCCCGGGAAGAAAAGGAACAAGGAAAGATTTTGGAGCCTGGCTTTGATTTGAGGCTGGGTCAAGGCCAAGCCACGGCCCTGGATTCTCCATCCCTGAGATCACACAGGCCTGGACCAGAAAAAATCCCACAAAAACTCCTCACAACTGCTCCCTCTCACACACCAAAAAGCACAAAATGCACAAAATTCAGCTTTTCCCCCATCCAGAACCAAAAAGGGTTTGATTATTGTGGGCATTAATGCTCCAAAGGGATTTTTCTTCCGTCCCAGGCACAGGAATAACCCCAAACCACCACAAATCCCAAATTCTCCTCAGAAAAATGCAGGAACAACACCCAGCTTTGGTTTAATTCCCACATTTCCGAGGTTCTCTGTGCAGGCCTGAGCTCCATTTCAGCCCTGCCAAGCCCCAAAAGCACAAAATTCAGCTTTTCTCCCATTCAGAAGCAAAGGGGGTTTGACTTTTTGGGGATTAATGCTCCAAAGGGTTTTTCCTCCATCCCAAGCACAGCAATGACCCCACACCACCACAAATCCCAAATTTTCCTGGGGAAAATGCAGGAACAACACCCAGAACCTGCCTTGCTTTTATCCCCAGGCTCTCTGTGAACAAACAAGCTCCATTTCAGCCCTGCCAAGCCTTTTTGTGCCCAAAAAGCACAAAATTCAGCTTTTCTCCTATCCAGAACCAAATGGGATTTGGTTATTTTGGGGATTAATGCTCCAAAGGGGTTTTTCCTCCATCCCAGGCACGGCAATGACCACACCACCACGACAAATCCCAAATTCTCCTCAGAAAAATGCAGGAACAACACCCAGCTTTGGTTTTATTCCCACATTTCTGAGGTTCTCTGTGCAGGCCTGAGCTCCATTTCATCCCTGCCAAGCCTTTATATGCCCAAAAAAAAATCACAAAATTCCTATTTCCTCCTTCTAGAAACAAAAATCTGGAAAATCCCCGGGGCAGAAGAGTTCCCAGGCAGGTTTTGGGCAGCAAGGAGCTGCTTTGTTTGGAGGTGACTCTGGGCAAAACCAGCTGAGCTTTGCTCTGGCCCAGATAAATCTATTTATAGCAAGTGTTATGCTAATTCCACATGGATCTGATCTGCTGGCACTGCTGCAGAAATGATATTTTCTGCTACCTGTCCTTTCAACCTCCCTGAGCAGCCAGAAAATGTTAAAATTAATCATCAGTTCTGTCTTCTGCTGCTTCCCTTTCCAGACATCTCCATTCCAACCTGATTTCCTCCTCCTGGAAATGGCTGGTTCACCCCAAAATTTGCAATAAGTGGGAGAAACACATGGAAAACCAGCTTGTGAAAATAATTTTAAAGCCACTCGTATTTTACGCACCAAAAATAAAATTAAAATGGTATTGTTTTATCACCTTAGGTTTCGTAAACAATAATTCATTTACTGCCCCTTTTGTGAGTGAAGGAGTGTGGAAAGGATTTAACTCATCATTAAAATGTCCCTGTCCTTGGGATAAAGGGATTTTTTTTCCCCCTCTCCCAGCAATTTCTTAATGGAGAAATGGTAATAAAGAGTTGTTTGCAGTGGTTGGGGTCTCCTGGTTTTGCTCCAGGATAATGGAATAAGCTGGATTTCTAATCTTGACTAAAATCTCTCCACAGATGGCTGCAGGCACCATGGAGATGTGGGAGGTTGTGCCAGTGTGAGCAAAAGAGTTTCCTGCAGGAAAATCCAAGTGGAACAGCAGAAACCCAGACACTGTCACACCAAAATTATCTTCCTCTTTGTTATTTTAT